ACACACAAGGTCGATACAAAAGGGGCACAGTCATCACCACCTTCCTCGAGAATAGCCTTCTTTGACTTTCCTGATCTGGATAAATTTATTTCCCCTCTGAATTTGTACAACAATTACTGCCTGTGCAACTCATTTTCCCAGCTTCCTCTAGGTATCATCCAGTGTCCAACACCTCTGCTTAAAGTGACTGCTTTCAGAACAACAGTGCAACTTAGGCAGTTGCTGAACCAGAGTAAGACTCTTAGAGACAGGCTGGGCACAGTGGCTCACTCCTGTAATCCCAGCACTTTGGGAAGCTGAGGAGGGCAGATTGCTTGGAAGTCAGGAGTTCAAGACCAGCCTGGCCAACACTCCAACCTGAGCAACAGAGCGAGACCCTGTCTCAAATAAATAAATAAATAAATAAAACAAAATTCATATTGAAACTTAATGCCCAAATGTGGCAGTATTGAGAGGTGGGGTTTTCAAGAGGTGACTGGATCTGGAGGACCCTGTCCTCATGAATGGATTAATAGATTAATGGGTTAATATGGGAGTGGAACTAGTGAATCATAAGAAGAGGAAAAGGGACCTGAGCAAGCACCGTGGGATTCCCTGAGTCACTTTGGTACTCTGCAGAGTTTCCATTAGCAAAAAGACTCTTACTAATTGAGGCCCCTTGACCCTGGACTGCTCAGCCGTCATAATTGTAAGAAATTTCTTTTTTTTTTTTTTTTTTTTTTGAGACGGTCTCACTCTGTTGCCCAGGCTGGAGTACAGTGGCATAATCACAGCATAATGCAGTCTCAATATCCTTAGGCTCAATGATTCTCCCACCTCAGCCTCCCAAGTAGCTGGGACCACAGGTGTGCTTCAGTGCGCCCAGCTAATTTTTGTATTTTTTTTTTCTTGTAGAGATAGGGTTTCGTCACATTCGAACTCCTGGGCTCAAGCGATCTGTCCACCTCAGCATCCCAAAGTGCTGGGATTATAGGTGTGAGCCACCACCCCCGGCCCCAGTAAGCAGATTCAATTGTTGTAAAACAGCTTATAGCATTCTGTGTTGTGCTGTCTGCAGTAAATGCATTTATGATGTTTTCCACTGATTATGTGTTTATTGGGATGTAACCCTATCATAAGTCAAGGAGCATCTGTATCTCATATGTAGCTCCTCCATAATTTATGGCAACCAATATATTTCTCTATTTATACGAATACTCTATTTTTTTGTTTTTTGTTTTTTTTTTTTTTTTTGAGACGGAGGCTTGCTCTGTCTCCCAGGCTGGACTGCAGTGGCCGGATCTCAGCTCACTGCAAGCTCCGCCTCCTGGGTTTACGCCATTCTCCTGACTCAGCCTGCCGAGTAGCTGGGACTACAGGCGCCCACCACCTCGCCCGGCTAGTTTTTCGTATTTTTTAGTAGAGACAGGGTTTCACCGGGTTAGCCAGGATGGTCTCGATCTCCCGACCTCGTGATCCGCCCGTCTCGGCCTCCCAAAGTGCTGGGATTACAGGCTTGAGCCACCGTGCCCGGCCACGAATACTCTATTTTTTTAAAATTTATTACGGAAATTGGTAGACACATTCAGAAATAAAAGAGGAAATAAACTTCAGTGCTATTCACTCAGTTCAACACTTTGTTAGCATATGGTCAATCTAGTATATATTTTCAGCTTTTGTATCATTTCATCCATAAATACTTAAAGCATTTATACTCTGTCTTGCAATAATTTATTTTCAAGTCATTTCTTTGACTAGACCAGCAACTATCTTTATTTTATTTTTTTGTTCTATTTTTTGAGATGGGATCTCACTCTGTCACCTAGGCTGCAGTGCGGTGGCACAGCCTTGGCTTACTGCAGCCTTGACCTCCTGGGCTGAAGCAATCCTCCTTTCTCAGCCTACCGAGTAGCTGGGACTACAGGTGCATGCCATCACGGCCAGCTAATTTTTGATTTTTTTTTTTTTTTTTTTTGTAGAGGTGAGGTCTTGCTATGTTGCCCAGGCTGGTCTCAAACTCCTAGGCTGAAACAATCCTCCTGCCTCAGTCTCACAGAGTGTTGGGATTATAGGCATGAGCCACTATGCCTGGCCTAAACCAGTAAGTCTCATAGGCAGGAAGTCTGTCTTATTTTTCCTTATATTCCCATCATTGAACACATTGTACATAGTCATTAAACATTTATTAAATGAATAAACAAGTGAATGCTGAATTAAATTAAATAGTAAGTGAGAAGAGAACTGACATTTAGGCTCTGGGGAGCACTAACAAAAGGATAGACAGAGGAATACAGTGTAGCAAAGGATATGTAAAAGAAGTAATTGGAGTTACTAGCTAAATGAAAATATTTTAGCTTCTTTATGATGAGCTTAAATTAGGGCATTCATAAGCAGGGAGTGTAGGAGATAGGTCAGATAATTCAAGGATTTTCTGAAGCTTCTGATAGGGATCAGTGTGGAGATTTGTGTTTTTTTTTTTTTTTTTTTTTTTGAGGCGAAGTTTCACTCTTGTTGCCCAGGCTGGAGTGCAATGGCACAATCTTGGCTCACACAACCTCCACCTTCTGGGTTCAAGCAGTTCTTCTGCCTCAGCCTCCCGAGCAGCTGGGATTACAGGCGCCCGCCACCGTACCTGGCTAATTTTGTATTTTTAGTAGAGACGGGGTTTCTCTATGTTGGTCAGGCTGGCCTTGAGCTCCCAACCTCAGGTGATCCGCCTGCTTGGGCCTCCCAAAGTGCTGGGATTACAGGCCTGAGCCACCGCGCCCAGCCCAGAGATTATTTTTTAACAGAGGCTTTGGATTAACCCAATGTTATTAGAACATCACAAACCATAAATTCTACAAACAAAAATTACAATCACAAATTGTATATGCTAAGTGTGGGAAAATTACAAGTTACCCATTGGTTTCTTTAGACATTCTTTTTTTTTTTTTTTTAGTTTTCAAAAACAACTTTATTCATGACACATATTTTTAAAAAAATTCCCACCCCTGGAAATGAGCTAAAAAAACCAAAATACACTTTTCACCTCCCTGTTCCCGCTTCTCATTCCCTCCCATTAAAAGGGAAAAAAGGCAAAGGAAAAAAAAAAAAAACTGAAAAACAAAACACTCCTAAACCTCCCAAAACAAGGTAGTGCATTTCCCCAGGGGGAAGGGGAATTTACACTGGAACCACTGGGAGCTGAATGGAGGTCTTCCGGCTACAGAAACCTGCAAAGAAAGACACTCAAAACAGAAAAAGAAGCACAAAAGGAAACAAAATAGATCACCAGGCAATCTGGAGGGGCAGGGAGCCGGAGAAGAGGGCTGGGGTGGGACTTGACTGGACAGGAGCAGGCAGGACGGGACTGTGAAAGGCGAGGAGAAGATGGAGGGAAGGTAACAAGCAGAACAGTTTGGTGTCCTTCCAGAGCCCTGGGTAAAAAAAAGAAAAAACCTACCACCCACACTCACCTACCCTTGAGCAGCACCCAAGGGGGTGAAATGGTGCGGGGAAACATGGGGAGCAGCTTATGCAGTTGAGACATGTCCATGGCGAATCCCCAGAGTGAATAAGCAGCCTCCTGCCCTACTCCCTGGGCCTTCCCCTACTCCCCAAAGCAGGTCCCTCCTCAGCTGTTAATTACGGGATTTTTCCCACTTCCGCAGTATATCGTTTTTTTAAAAAATGGTTTTTTTCCCATCAGGGTCATCTTCTGTTTTGTTTTTTTTTTATTCTTTTTTTTCCCCTCCTTTCCTCTTTTTTTCTTCTCTCTTCTCCTAATACTTTTTTAGTAAGGGGAATACCATGATGTTGCTCTAGCCCGGCCCCTGTAGACGCGACCGTGGGGCCTGCTGTTAAAACCACTGTAGAATTGAGAGAGGTAATTGTTATAGTTGGTGGTCTGGGCGCGGTAGCGGGCTCGTGGGAAACCCCGGTCTGTTGTGCTGATTCCTGGTCTGTTGGTTCGTTTTGGGATCACCTTGATTTGCCTTCCTCTAAATAGGGACTCATCTGAGACCAAGGAAGTCCTCACTGGTTCTTTGTCTGAGAACTCTGTATGTGCAAACCCTTTGGGATGGGCACTAAATTTGTCACAGAGTATGGTGACACGGTTGACTGAATCACAGCCATGAAAGTGAGCTTCCAGCTCTTCTGCTGTTGCACCATAGTCCACATTGCCAACATAGATGGAATGGGCATCAGCCTCCATCTTCTCTTCAATGACATGATCACTGGGCCAGCATTGCCTAGAGGTGGACTCGTATTCATCTGCTTCTCTACCTCTGTTCTGTAGCTCCTTTAGCTTCTCAGCTGCTTCTTCCATCTCCCTGACTTGAGTTTTGATAGTTTCCAGTTCCCGGTCCTCAATGGCGCCGTACCCCGGGTCACCCTCGACCAGTCCCGGCTCCTCCTCCTCCTCCTCTTGGCTGCCAGGGACTCCCGAACCAGGCCCAGGGCCCGGAGCTCCCGTGGGAGTGGGGGTGTCGGGCTGGGGCGGCTCCTCTTCGGGCTTGGGCTCTGGCTTGGGGTCCAGCAGCAGCTCCTCAGGCTCCAGTTCCTCAGACTCCAGGCCATTCCCGTAGTCCCCTGCGCCCCCCGGGGTCCCCTCCCTGGCCTCCCCACCGGCCCTGGGCACAAGATGGCACCGCCGCCCTGGCCTGGGGCCCCGACCGTCCACAGCCCCCGCCATCCGCAGCCCCTGCCGCCTGCTCACTCTTCAGGCATTCTTAAATTATTGCTCCCCTTCCATAGTATTATGTTCAAGGTATTAAAGGCAGTAGTAGTACTACCGTGTGTAGATATACACAAATTAAGGAAAGAGTTAAAATTAGTTTATTCATTCATATTGTGTACCTGCTATGTTTTAGGCACTGAAAAATGGATATAAGTCTGGTATATTTGTCTCACCCATCAGTTAGCCTGGTGCCTGACACATATTAGGTTCTTAAGCAAGTGCATTAAGAGGATAAAGAAGTGTTGGCAGATTTTGCCTTCCATTTTTAATGGTTTCATCTCTTACTGTTCCTCTACAGGGCCAAAACACTCATTGACTCAGATCTCTCAATCCATGCTGGATCTCTGTGATGAAAAACTCAAAGAGGTAAGACAGTGAAAGAAAGGCAGTGGAATTTGAAGGAGGGGGGTATATCAGGGTTTAGGAATTAGGGAATTTAACAGAAGGAAAAATATATGTGGGAGTAGCAGATATTTAGTATATGTGAAGGCTGGAAGGGACTTTAGAACTCACAGGCCAGTCCCTTTTGTAGATGGAAAAACTGGGCCCATAACTCATTAGAAAGGGCAAAGGAAAGTGAGTTTCCAGGAAGTCAGCTGTAGCTGAGAGACTAGTCAATGTTTTAGGAAGGAGGAATTTTAATTTTTTCTTTGTATTTTTAACCAACCAAGCAGCAAGTGCTAGAAGTTTTAATTTTTAAATGGTAATCTATCTATATTCCCTCTTCTTACCAAAAACATTTAATGGTACTTTATAAACCTACAAAAGTGTAAGTATGAAGTAGACATTTTACAAAAGAGGGTAGCTAGCCAGTAAACATGGAAAGATTCTCAACTTGACGGATTATTGAGGAGATGCAAATTTAAACCACGATGTCACTACATACCCACTGGAAAGGCTAAAATTAAAAAGACTGACAATACTAAGTGTTGATGAGGATTTGGAGCAATAGGAATACAAACTTTTTCCTACTAGAGTCTAAAATAAATTTATTGGGTTACGTCCCATTATACAAAAGTCACTAATCAGTAATAATGTTTAGTGTTGTTCAGCAGTAGTTTTATACCAAAAACAGAGAGCATGATCTTAAAGCCTAAATTGCTAAAGATGTTTTTTTTGTGTGTGTGGCAGCTATGATGTTGACACTCAGAGAAGTATAAATTTTGGTGAACCAGAAGAATAGAATGTAGAGTACCTAAGAAGTTGTTGACGTATCCATTTTGACCGTTTTACTGGAATATCTGTTTTTTTTTTTTTTTTTTTTTGAGACAGGGTCTCGTTCTGTCACCCGGGCTGGAGTGCAGTGGGATGATCTTGGCTCACTGCAACCTCCGCCTCCTGGGTTCAAGTGATTCTTGTGCCTTGGCCTCCTGAGTAGCTGGGATCACAGGCGTGTGCCACCACGCCCAGCCAATTTTTTTTTTTTTTTTTAATTCTTAGTAGAGATGGGGTTTTGCCATGTTCACCAGGCTGGTCTTAAGCTCCTGGCCTCATGTGATCCACCTGCTCGGCCTCCCAGATTGCTGGGATTACAGGTGTGAGCCACTGTGCCCAGCCTGGAATATCATTTATCTTGACTTTTTGTCATTCCGTAGACAATTCAAAGTTACACTTTCTGGGGCAAGGGTCATAGATAGCTAGCTGAACCTTAAATTATCCTTAATTTTTTTTTTTTTTTTGAGATGGAGCCTCGCTCTGTCACCCAGCCTGGAGTGCAGTGGTATGATCTTGGCTCACTGCAGGCTCCACCTCCCAGATTCATGCCATTCTTCTACCTCACCCTCCCGAGTAGCTGGGACTACAGGCGCCCGCCAACATGCCTGGTTTTTTTTGTATTTTTAATAGAGATGGGGTTTAACCGTGTTAGCCAGGATGGTCTCGATCTCTTGACCTTGTGATCCACTCGCCTCAGCCTCCCAAAGTGCTGGGATTACAGGCATGAGCCACCACGCCCAGCAAATTATCCTTAATTTTTCTGTGGTGATCACACCTTAGGGAAACTTCTGTCTTGGCTTTGCTTTAATTTCAGAAAGAAGATAAATTAGCTCGCTTAGAGAAAGCTATCAACCCCTTGCTGGATGATGATGACCAAGTGGCCTTTTCTTTCATTCTGGACAACATAGTCACCCAGAAAATGATGGCAGTTCCAGATGTAAGCTGTCTCTGTGCTAAATATTGTGAGGATCGTGCAGGGGAAAGGAAAAATGTATAGGGTGTACGTGTGTGTATTTTGGAGAGTCTAAGTGGGTATGTCAGTTGTGACTGGTATGTGATTTTAAATATTGACCTTTTTGCTGTATGGGTACATTATCTTTTTTTTAAAGAGTACATTATCATTGAAGTCAAAGAGGCCAGGAATCTTTGGATGTAGGGAGGTTTTTGCTTCCTGTTGCTGACATTCAGTATATGAATGCTCCTGAGTAGCCCTATAGAGAGAGGGTGCTAGCGAATGTGAGACTTTTGATTTAAAGGTACTTCTAAGCAAATGATACTTTGATAATTAGACACCGTTGGTTGTCTTTTATTTCGTTTTTATATCGTTATGGTGATCCTCCCTAGGAATTCTCAACAGTTTCCTTTTGCACTATAGGAATGTGTTCTACGTGTGTAATGCTATAAAACTTCCGGATGGGACTAGGGAATAAGAAATTTTAATTATGACTATAGAGCAAGTGTTTTTACCCTATCATGGCATAGAAATCCTTAAAGGAATCTGTGAACCCCTTACATTATATACAGAAGTTTTGTATGATTATGTGTTTTTCTAGGGAAAGAGTCCATAGCTTTTTATAGGAATATTTGTAAGCCAACAAAGGTGGTGAAATTCTGGTATGAAGAGTGATTTCCATTTAATTTCTTATGCTTTCTATTTACTAGTCTTGGCCATTTCATCACCCAGTTAATAAGAAATTTGTTCCAGATTATTACAAAGTGATTGTCAATCCAATGGATTTAGAGACTATACGTAAGGTGAGTGACTGATTTGATCTAAATGCCTTTTTGTAATCAAGTGACTGTGTGTGTGTATCTGAGTGCCTGATTCTTTTCATCACAGAATATCTCGAAGCACAAGTATCAGAGTCGGGAGAGCTTTCTAGATGATGTAAACCTTATTCTGGCCAACAGTGTTAAGTATAATGGTGGGTATTTCTCTTTATTTTCTTTCCATGAATCCATCCATCTTCTATCCATCTGACATTACTTAGCATTATTAAAAAAATTTTTTTTGAGACAGGATCTTGCTCTCCTAACCAGGCTGGATGCTGTGGTGTGATCATAGTTCACTGAACCAGGCACACGCCACTGCGCCAGGCTCTTTTTTTAGTAGAGACAGGGTTTTGCTGTTTTGCCCAGGCTGAGCTCAAGCAATCGTTCCACCTCGGCTTCGCAAAATGCTGGGATTACAGGCATGAGCCAACACTCCTAGCCAGCATTATTAAAATTTATGTGCATAAGGCAGCCTTGAGCAGTGATCGCAGAATCAATTGAGTGACTTAGTCTTTTTATTTTTATTTTTTTGAGATGGAGTTTCACTCTTGTTGCCCAGGCTGGAGTACAGTGGCGCAATCTTGGCTCACTGCAACCTCTACCTCTTCCAGGTTCGAGTAATTTTCCTGCCTCAGCCTCCTGAGTAGCTGGGATTACAGGTGCCTACCACCACGCTCAGCTAATTTTTGTATTTTTAGTAGAAATGGGGTTTCACTATGTTGGCCAGGCTTGTCTCGAACTCCTGACCTCAGATGATCCATCTGCCTCAGCCTCCCAAAGTGCTGGGATTACAGGTGTGAGCCACACTCCTGGCCAGTCTTTTTTTTTTTTTTTTTTTTTTTTTTTAAAAGCAAGCATATATTTTAGTGTGTATGTTGTATAAAGATTGCTATTAGCCTTTAATGATGAAAAAGTAATATATGCTTACTTTTGAAATCTCGGAAGGCACAGAAAAATGAAGTGAGAATAAAAATCAAATGGATATTACTTTGGGCTCTGAGCCATCATTGCTTTTTCCTAGAATGTGAAAACTCACCTATGTCCCAGGCCCTTAGATGGAGCTTAGGGAAATGGGTAGCTATAGACCATGGTGAGCTTCCTTGGTGCATGGAGTTTTGCTCAGTACATGAGTTGATTGAATAACATATGCCAGGCTCTGTGCTAGCTGCTTAATCTACTGATAAGAGAGACAGTCACTGTCCTCAAGTAATTCACAATCCAGTTGGCAGAAAGAGACAATTAAAATGCAGCTTGGAACCAGGCATGGTGGCTCATGCCTGTAATCTCAACACTTTGGTAGGCTGAGGTGGGAGGATTGCTTGAGGCCAGGAGTTTGAGACCAGCCTGGGCACACATAGCAAGACCTTCCTTGTCTGTATAAAACACTTACAAACAAAAGCTTAGCTAGGTGTAGTGGTGAGTGCCTGAAGTCTTAGCTATTTGGGAGGCTAAGGCAGGAGGGTCACTTGAACTCAGGAGTTCAAGACTGCAGTGAGCTATGATCATGCCCCTGCACTACATCCTGGGCGACAGCAAGACCCTGTCTTTATAAATAAATAAAATAAATAAGTAAAATGCAGTTTGACAAGGGCTATAATAGAAGTATGTGCAGAGTGCATCAGACGAGAGCAAGGAATATCTTAACTGAGAGGGAAGGCTTCATAAACAAGCTAATACAGTTTTTAATGACAATTTTTAAACATTGAGTACTTATATGTGCTGGCACTGATAGATGTTATAAATATCAAATTATATATGGTTTCTGTTCCAAATTAGTTTAGTTTAGTTCGGGAAACAGAAAAGAAAAATTATAGTACTTAAATTTTATTGTTATAAGCATGCACAGAGTATCACAGGACAGTATATCTAAATTAGAGTGGGGCGGGGTGCGGTGGCTCACGCCTGTAATCCTAGCACCTTGGGAGGCCAAGGCGGGTGGATCACTTGAGCTCAGGAGTGCAAGACCAGCCTGGGCAACATAGTGAGACCCCATTTCAAAAAAAAAAAGGGGGGGGGGGTTAGAGGAAGCTTTCTGGAAGAGGATTTTCTTTTTTCTTTTTCTTTTTTGTAAATAGAGATGGGGATCTTGCTGTGTTGCCCAGTCTGGTCTGGAACTCCAGGACTCAAGCCATCCTCCTATCTTGGCCTCCCAAAGTGTTAGGATTACAGGCATGAGCCACCACACCCATCAGAAGAGAGTTTTCTTAAGCTGAATTCTGAAAGATCAATGGTGTTTACTTGGCAAAGAATGTGGAGGAGAAAATGTTCTAGGTAGAGAGAACAGCAATATGTAAAGGCACAGAGGCCTGAAATTGCATGATAGGTTTAAGAAACAGGCCGGGTGCGGTGACTCACGCCTATAATTCCAGCACTTTGGGAGGCCGAGGCGGTGGGATCCCCTGAGGTCGGGAGTTTGAGACCAGGCTGACCAACATGGAGAAACCCCGTCTCTACTAAAAATACAAAATTAGCCGGGCGTGGTGGCGCATGCCTGTCATCCCAGCTACTCGGGAGGCTGAGTCAGGAGAATCACTTGAACCTGGGAGGCGGAGGTTGCAGGGAGCCAAGATGGTGCCATTGTACTCCAGTCTGGGCAACAAAAGTGAAACTCCGTCTCAAAAAAAGAAAAAAGAAACAAGGTGTTGGGGTTGCAATTCAAGTGTACATATTGGTGAGTAACTGTTTAGAGAGGCAGGCAAGAGTCAAACCATAGAGGATTTTGTGTGCTATACTTGAGTTTGTACTTGATCCTAAATAGGAAAACACTGAAGGAATGAAACAGGGAAACGATTTCTTATAATTCCTTAAACAAATAGAAGAGGGAGCTAAGGGCATTTGAGAAAATTATCTAGCATACTGAGGTTCTCAACTAAGAATCCACATGATTATAAGACTTTTCTCCTGTAATTTTTAGCAGTAAGTAGTATGACTGTTAAGTTTGTCAGAAGGGGCAGAGTATTGGAGAGAAAAGGTGAAGGATTGGTCAGTCGGAAAGACTGATGAAGAAATAGGCGTTCTGGGCAGAGAACACAATGTTTAATATCATGGAAGAATGAAAGAACAGGGCAAGTTCAGGGAATTATACGTAACTAGGACATGCATATATCATTAAAGAGATGAGACTTCCATTTTTGTTCATTCTGGTTTGGGTTGAAAGAATCTACTTTCTCACTTTGCTCTGCTTATTACACATTGGAAATTGGAGAGTAGAAATGTCCCTTGTTGGGTCAATTATCCATTATTGTTTCATGAAAACACCTAAAATTAATCACCCAGAATTCTGGCAGTGGAAGTGTTGGTAAGCTCACAGACGTCTAAAAAAGACTATGTGTAGCAAGTGATAAGCAAGAGTGTTACAGAAAGGCACTTGACCTGGTGATGCCTGACTTAGGACATAGGGCAGACTTACAAGGAGCTTATGTAAAACAGTAAGAAAAACCCAGAAGATACTAATAAAAAAGTAAGCAGAGGGCAGATGGACAGATCACAAAAGACGAAAATTAAATAGGTAACAAACATGAATAAATATTGTGTTGCACTAGTAATCGAAGAAATGGCAATTGGGCCGGACGTGGTGGCTCATGCCTGTAATCCCAGCACTTTGGGAGGCCGAGGCAGATAGATCACCTGAGGTCAGGAGTTCGAGATCAGCCTGGCCAACATGGTGAAACCCCATCTCTACTAAAAATACAAAAGTTACCCGGGCGTGGTGGCAGGCTCCCGTAATCCCAGCTACTTGGGAGTATGAGGCATGATAATTGCTTGAACCTGGGAGGTAGAGGCTGCAGTGAGCCGAGATAGTGCCACTGCACCCCAGCCTGGGTGACAGAGTGAGACTTAGTCTCAAAAAAAAAAAATTGAAAGAGGTTTTTTTTGTTTGTTTGTTTTTTGTTTTGTTTTGTTTTGTTGTTGTTTAGACGGAGTCTTGCTCTGTCGCTCAGGCTAGAGTACAGTGGCATGATCTTGGCGCACTGCACCCTCCACCCCCTGGGTTCAAGCGATTCTCCTGCCTCAGCCTCCCGAGTAGCTGGGATTACAGGTTCCCGCCACCGTGCCCGGCTAATTTTTGTGTTTTTAGTAGAGATGGGGTTTCACCATCTTGGCTGGCCTGGTCTCCCTCATGAGCCACTGCATCCGGCCAACTCAGTTTTTTAGTAGACATAATGGTAGTGAGACAGGTGCTCTCACGCTTTGCTGTTGGCAGTATAAAATTGTGTGAGATTTCTGGAAAGCTATTTGGCAACATTGAGAGACTAAAAAATTGTTCAGACTTTTATTGAACAGACTTTATTGTCAGGTAGACTTGGATTTGAACATTGGCCCCAGCACTTAATAGCAATGTGACTTTGAGCAAATAACTTAGTCTCTGCTTTTCCTATCTGTAAAATAAGAATAATAGTACTCCCCTCTGAGGGTTGTTGTGAGGATTAAATAAAATAGTGCATGTAAGTAGTTAGCATGTGGTAAGATTATAATCCTAATCAGAGATGTAGTCAGAGGTATTCATGATACTGTTATTTATGTTAGCAAGGACTTACTTTACTTGAACAGTTGATGTAAAGGGGATGATGTTATATGTTTTCCATGGTTTTTCCTTGTATAGGAAGCAGGGGAACTCTCCTAAGAGGAAGTGACTTTTGAACTGAGTTTTGAAGAATGATGATGATAATAACTACTTATTGAGCACCTACTGTGCCAAGGAAATAGTCAAGTGGAAAACGGTGGAGAAGTTCCTGGCAGATAGCACAAATGCAAAAGTAGATGAAGGTGCCTTGGATAGGGAAATGCCGGTAGTTAAATATGACTAGGATGCATAGTGGAATTACATTTGGTAGTGAGATTCGAGATTTTAAAGGTAGAGGGGCCAAATCATGAAAGGCCTAGTATGTTACACCAAACCTTTAGAAGGAGAAAGGGACATATCAGGTACTAGTACCTGAATGTATCATTCCGAAACCTATCTGAAGAATGGATTGGAAGAGGGGAATAAGATAGAGACCGGTAAAGAAACTATTGACAGCATTCCCAGTTAAAAATACTGACGGCCTGAACTAAGATCAGTATCAATAAGAGTAAAAAGATGAAGACGGGGTGTAGAGATACTGAGGAGGTAGAATTGATGTTTCATAAATGGTTAGAAGTTGGGGGCATG